TTCCATTCCACCATATCAATAAACACTTTCATTTGGGTTATTATCCCATAGTCTTTCGAACAATTCTAACAAAATGCTAAATTCTAAACCGTGCACAGTAAACCTTGTCAAGAGTAATGAAATTAACTTCATAGGCTCTGCAGATATCCATAATGATTTTAAGCATCACAACACTGCAAAGAGTAAATACAATATTATATTCACAGATGCTGTTTAATGCAAAACAGAGTTGGATGAAGTCAATTGGAAAACACAGGCGCAGATTTTAATGTGGTTTGTCAACTGAATACTCATTAAATTGTTACAAGATTGCATGCGGCATAGAATGACTGTTGAGGTTGAGATGTATTTCATCAAATCTCTACTAAGTCGGGCATCTAAGTGCACCAAAATGCTTCATTTTAACAAAAAAATAAGGGGGAAAAAAGAAATGATATAGATTTTTATGGGACCATTGACCAATATTGGTAGCAGTATTAGAGAAATCCATGACTAGTATGATCTTACCTATCTCCTATCCTATCTCACCTATCTCCTATACAATGCTGTGAGGGAGTCAATACCTACTGGGGGAAATACGTTTGAAAGAGAAATGCAATTCTATGTTGCTTTGATGACGCAAAATAATTGGTCAATCACCTCATAGCTGTTTGTAGGACCCTACTGTCTAAATGGCTGCTGCATTTGCCTAGAGGGGCAGGTCCCACTCTTGACAGTAGTTAGCTGTGAAGTGCTTTGAAACATTTTGATGTGGTCAGGAGCTATAAAATGCAAGTTTCATAGTTAAAGACAATGTCAGTCTAAGGTGCCATACAGATCAGAAGGTTGAAGGGGTTAAGATTTCAGGTTGACTGATACCAGTGGACAGCAGTAGGGTTCTATACTTGGCCTCAGTGTCCCTGGGCTAGGGAGGGGAAAACAAATAGCTAAAGGTTCTACTCCTGATTGCTATCCATTAATCCATGAAAGAACGTGCATGCGTGTGAAAAGCAAATGAGAATATGATCAGTCTTGGCTGTGGTGCACTTCATAGTCAAATACCTCTCCGACACTTGTTATGAAGGCTCAAGCATAAAGAATGACTGCCCCCTTGAGCGAGGTATTGGGGGAGTAAGACTAAGCAAGAGGAGGGTGAAAAGGAAAAACAATTGGCAAAGGAAAAAAAGCCACTTTAAGGGTTAAACACCTTGAAAACAGAAACGACTGCAGTAGGTTCACTCTTAGTTTGAAGAAAACTAAAAGTGAATGAAACAGCCTCAGATCAGAGTTGTGTTTGAAGCTCACTTGTACATAATTATCATTGCTGTTGTTTTCCTGCAGCTTTGATCATACTGTGGTCCTAATTTACATTCTAGTCATTGACTTATTCCCACGTGGAATTCCCTCCAGTGAAAACTAGATAGAAAATGCCATGCAGTTGCAAAAAAAATTAAAAATTCTTCATTGCCATCCGAGTTCCTGATGTGACCTGTATAAAATTCGGATTTCAATGAAAGTGAGAGACCTGGGCTATATTCCCGGAAGGGCGAAATGTTAGGCAAGTCCTTACTCCTTCCTTACTCCACATGTCTCTGTTTACCTAGCAGTAAGTAGGAACCCGGTTGTTAGTCGATTGGTGCATTGCTTTTTCAGGGATAATAATCCTTCAAAAAAAAACAATAATAATTTGGTCACTCAATCCACGACTGTTTACGGGACACTGCTGTGCGCAATTAGCTGCTGTGTTTCGGCCACAAATATACAATCAATTCACTTTACAGTATATTCTGTGAAGCACTTTGAGACATCTAGAAGCGCTATACCAAATGCAAGGCTTATTATTATCATATTATATATGCCTTTAAAATCACAACTTCTGCATTAGGCCATTAGAAAACAATCTACTTATTGAAAGGACAATTCCATGGGTTCAGTAAACAACCATAGGTATTGGCATATGTTAATATTGCTAGCAATCTGTACAGAGCAATATATCAGCAGATAAAAATAAGCAATACATTACTGACTGAAGAAAGGTACAAGTTAATTCCCTCTGCAGCTACATGGGGATCTGTAAACTGAACTCTTAATTGTAACGTAAATTGATTCCCCAGCTTAATCAGTCTACCACATCTTATCTGCATTTGTCATCAGCCATCTTTATTACACTGCACAAGCCTTTGTAACCCACCACTGATCCTATTGCCAGTGATAGATAATAGACGTGTGGAACATGCCGCTTGTTCAGAATATTCAGGACTAACTCATTTAACAAAACGTTAAACCCTTAATCTAAAAGGAAAATGATTATAATGGAACAGTTCCAAAGAATTTTAAATACGCAAGTATTAAACAGTACAACCTGAAATAGTACAACCTCGCTAACACTGAACACTAGTTCATTGAATTAGTGAATGCATCATATTTAAAGGCAAGTTCTCTTTTGATATAATTGTTTGTTGTTACCTATTGGGAGTGTGTTCATAAGACCTTGCCTTCATGATGTCTTCATAAGACTTATTGGTGGCCAATGTATTGTCAGCCTTATAGCAGGTAATCAAAAGATGAAGAATCCTTTTCATTAACTTGTCATGGGGCAGTGGATGTTCCTTTTTCAAAGCCACCCTACTTACATACCCACCCACCAGCACCAAAGAGAGTTCAGAACCAGGTGTAAGGACCTTTTCAAAGCCTTCGCTGAAAGATCCTATGATTATTATGGCAAACAAAAGAAACTTCATTCAACATTTAATTTGCTCGGAGAAATAGCTTTATTCTGACTAAAAGAGTGACACAGGTTTAATGAATCGTTTGAATCCACACCAAGAGAAACAACTCATTTACGGAGAAACACACGATTTGCCAAACCTAAAAAGAAATCAAAATCATCAGGAGCTTCATGTAAACACTGGGTAATGAATAGTTCAGTCAGAACATGCTCCTTAGCTCTTATTGACTACTATGTTCTACACTGAAATTCAACGTCAATGAAATAGCATATGAATGTTCTTTTTTGTAGACAGTTCAAAACAGGATGCAGGCTTTACAAGACAACATTTCGCCAATAGAATTAGATCTGTGATCACATTCCCAAAGCATGCATTAGACCACATACAGCATTTCCTTTCATCGCCCTCATCTAAAAGATCTTGTTTGAATCAAAATCTCCAAAGCAATGTAGGTAAGACAGTAGGGTCCTTTCACAGGGCACTCTCAGCACTCTGCTCACAGTGAAGATGAAAACAGTGCTGTGGTGTGTTTGGGAAATAAAGTTCTGATGTAGGATTTAAACTCCCACCCCACTCTACCGCCAAACACGAACAGACCACACAGAGTGGCCCTGAGAGAAAGGTCTCCTCACCTGGACACCTGCTAGCGAACTATTCCCTTCCCAGAATTTGCGTTTTGTTCCCATGAGAGTCCCCTTTACCTGATGTGGACAGATAATGCCTCGATTATAATTCAGAAGAATTTGTTCATTGTTCACATGTAGAAAAGTCAGCAGAGTCTGCTTGCCAGACAATGGAAAACGCAACCTCCATTGACAGCTAATGGCAGTTAAAGTAGACAGGACGTTTAGTTTTAACCAATGTAACCCAAGATAGCTACAAGACCTTCACCACAGACAAAACGAAAACCTGATCCTTGTGTCATGAAATGGGACACAATAAATGGTCTGAGGACCATCATTAAGGGTCACTGGCAATTACACAAGACCATTTTAGTGCAAGTAAAAATCCAATAGAATTTAGTTACCAAGCAGGAAAGGTATTGTTGGTTTATGGAAAATGCAAATCCTTGGATACTACAATCACCAAACGCTATCTGCAGTACAAAGTTTCTGCAATTCATCTAAAACGGTGAAGAATTTCACCCCATTTAAACTCTCGACCTGCAGTACTTAAGATTTTGAACCACATTCACACAATGACCAACAAGAACACAACATGCTTAGCACGAATCAATAGCAGTGAATTGACATGTTTGACCCTACATGCCAGGTAAGGAACTTACTATATTCAAAAGTCTCAAACTAGCTAAATACATTTCAGGGTGAATGTATATTGTGAGGTGAATCTTCAAAAATACCATCTATATTTTTTTGAAAGAAAAGTGTATCTGGCGCGCAAAGCTCACTTTCCCCAGTAGGGAAGATTTTGGTGTTTCACATCGCACCCAATGAGTCAACAAGGATAATAAACAAATAATAACCCTTGCGCTTGCGATAGCACCTTATCGCATTGTCGAGACGTTTCAAATCGCTTCACAGGATATACTGTAAAGTCGAACGACCGTGTAGCTCGTGGGTGAAATGTGGCAGCCAGTTTGCGCACAACAGTGTCCCACAGATGTGGAGTGAGAGGCCCATTTTATTTGGGGGACTGTTGGCCAGGACACCAGGAGAGAGAAACTCCCTTCTCTTTTCGAATATGACTGAATGCCCTGAATGTTTTCTCGGGGAGGGATGTGTTGAGGAGAGAGAATGGGGGGGGGGGAAATTCTTCAGTCCTCATGGATGGGAGGTAGTGCCCTGGAGCTGTTGCTGCTGCTGTTGCAGGAGATGACAGCCCATCGCTGACACGCTGAACGATGCTCTACAGCTCAAACGTGTGGCTCAGATTCCCCAGCTCCCACGTTGTGTTTAATGTCCCACAGTCAAAGGAGAGGTGGAGGGGTGGGGGAACCTGCAGGCGACTCTCACTCCCACATTAACCAGTGACCAGCCAGCTAGCCATTTCAGTGTGTTTCCCCCCAGACTGCGTTACAGAATATGGGGAGTGTGTGTGTGTGTGTGTATGTATGTGTGGGGGGTGGGGGCTGTTGCAATAGAAATGCAAACAGGTTATAAAAGAAAGAAGATTTTAAGCAAACTCTAAAACAAAGAGCAAGTACAGTGTATATACCTTATATATATATATATAACTTAAGACAAAACTGCATAAGTCTGCAACAAAAGGAAAAGGGAGGGCTTAACACTCAACAATAAGTCTAGGATTGTGTTGGGTTTATTTAAGCCTTACCTTGATGGACCCGGGGATGACCAGCTTCAAGGCTTGCCTTCTGAGCTCCGCCAATTTGACCTGGCAATTCTTGCACCAGGCGCCTCTCTCTTCCTTCTCGAAGGAGCCCGACTCCAGCCCGGTGGCCGCTCCTGCGCCCTCGGGAGGAGGGCGACTGCCACAGTGACCTTCCTCGGCCGCCTGCACCCTCTTCCTGGGGCCGGACTCCAGGGACACCGGCGGAGGCTCCCTGCCCGGGCTGCCATCCACCACCTGCAAACACAGGTCAGAGAACAGGAGCGGGTCTTGAGTCTCCAGGCGATGGTCAACACAGAAAGATCCCCTTTCGAACAGCAAACCACGTTGAGTGTTCTCAAGGGTTAAGCGAAATAGAAAACACCAACAAAAGTATCTCTGCAACCCCCCCACCCCCCACCCCTTCCAACTTGGAAAATAACCAGCGATTATTATTTCCCCTTATTTTAGTGACAATGATAATCCCAATGTTGGGTTTTGCCACTGAACCTGTTGCTCTCTTCCCTTTTCTCTCTCGTTATTTGCCTTTAAACTGTAAGACGCTAAAATGTGAAAGAAGAGAACTTTTGATTATTTTGTAGACATTTGGAGGGTTGGGGGGGGGTGGGGGGGGAGGGGGGGAGGGGGGAAACCCCCGTCTTGATGGTCAGCATCTCAGCGCTGTGTTCCTGCTGTGGCTGAGAGTCTGGTCAGGGATGCGCACACTGTGCAACACCACCGCATCCGAACCACAGTCACTACACCCCGCACACGGCACAAGCGGCTCAAGAGGCACAGAGCCTTCGCTTCCAACTTTACTCAAACTTGACCCAAGTTTAAGCCAAGAGGAGCTCCCGGATTGCCTCGTTACGACCGCACCGCACCGCACGGTACTTGCACCGCACCGCACCGCACTGTACTCACCGCTAATCTGCGGCACTCCGGCTCCAACGCACGGGATTTGCTGCCTTGCACCAAGTACATATTTATGAAATAAAAGTCAACTCGTCAGTGATTGCAGGAACACGAAGAGGGCAAAGTAGTAACCTGGACCGAAGGATAAAGAATTTACTGCGCCAACTCCTGTCTGCGGGTCTGGCAGTGCGGATTCATGTCACACACAACACACAACACAACACACACATAACACACACACACACACAACGCACACATAACGCACACAACACACAGGAGCAGCAAATCATCTGATCACTGCAGAGAATGCACTTTCTTCATTGAACGACTTTTTTTTTTCAAGTCCTTTTTTGTTTAAAAGCCACTGCAAAGCCTCAGCAGACGGTGTGTGTCCATCGGGCACTTCCACTGCTGTCCATCCATGTCCCAGAGTAAAAGAGGGGGGAGAGAGAGACCAGACAGAGCAAGTTTGACTTTCAAGTTTGTCTAAAAGGGGGTGTGTGTGTGTGTTTTTTTTCTCTCTCTTGCTTCAGGGGGAGGAGCACAGAAGGGATTTTAAACCACCGATTGGCCACGAGGAGTGTTGGTGAGTGGCAACACCAACAACTCGTCAAATTGGGAGTGACAACAGCAACAACTCATCACACCCGCAAAGAAGCTGAACTTCCAGCAGTAACTTCCAAACTGACCCCAACGTTAACTCATATAGTCGTTTGAAATGACACAACTACTGGGCATCACTGGTTTCCTACAAATGGTGCTACAACAACAACAACAACAACAAAAAAACAACAATCCCAAACTGCAGAGATGTACTTTTTTTGGATGTTGTCGTTCTCTCTCTCTCTCTCTCTCTCTCTTTCTCTCTCTTTCTCCAGTTTAAGGCAGTCGATCTGGCGATGTTCCCTTCGGACAAGTTATACACTGCAAAGAAATTTTACTTGGAAATTCAAACTCGCCCCACGAAGTAGCATTTTAATGTCTGTAAGAGTAGATTGCTATGGCATCTTTTTTTTAAAAAAAAACATTTAAAAAAAAACAACAACACCCTGACCAAGATCTCCAATCGCTTGACTTGACTGAGTTTATTAAGCTTAACACACGAAACATACAAAGGTATATATACAAAGGTATATATTTTTTATATTGCATTGATGGGTGGAACATGGGGCAACCCCCCCCCCCCCTGCCAGGTGAATAACTTTAAAGTATTTTGGTAAAAGACGCCTTCAATGTTTCTGAAAATGAATTGCCTTCCTTTTAAACCCTTAAACCTCAACGCCTCGCCATCACACAGACGTGTAAGTGTGTTATGAACTGGATTCTCACACATTTGGATTAGAAAGCCTGTTCTCGTCCTTTTTAACCAAGTCGTCCTGCCCTACTTTCCCTGTTGTTGTAGCACCACCTGTTGGTGACGATTTAGAAACCATGGACAACATCAAATTACTGGATAACAAGAGGGGGGGGAAAAAAACTAATTTACATGTGCACTGTAAGATGGGTCCTAATATAAGTCTGTGTTAAAATCTGTTCTCCATCGGTACACCCAACACCCTGCTTTACTGCACTGCACTCTGACTCCATCCTCTCAGTGACTATCAGCCACACACTCGAGAGCCAGAGTCGGCACTTGGTCTTTTCAGTATGAAATTAATCGGATAACCAATTGTAAACAGGCTTTTTTTTTAAAAAAAAAATTGTTACTTGGCAAAATAGGGTCACAGTTGTATTTTGCCGAATTTACTCTTGGACAGTTTAGCTGTTATAGGGGAAGCAAATGCCACTGAGCACAATTAATGTTCACAATTGCTGCAGGAGATGAGGTTGAAATACTTCAGTGCTCGCAGTCGATTCTTCCAGCTGATACTTAACTGAAGTAATGAGGAGTGGATGAGTGAAGAGTAACAAAGAAAGACACAACACCTCTTTGTTGGTTTTAGTAGGGCTAAAACATATTCTATGACTAAAGGTTAAAACCCTCAAAAGGGGATGGGTGGACCCCAGATTGGAAAGAGAACGTGGAAGGCCAAAATTGAGATTCTGGGACCTATCTATATTCGGAGGAACCGAGATGGGTTACATGAAACCAATTTATCTCGGAGTTGATGTTACCCTTCAATGCTTCCTGGAGTTTTGATCCCACCCTTCTATGGCAGCAGGGGAAAGATGTTCTGCATTACAATAGTCATGTCAGAGCTAGCAGAGCCTAACTAATTGTGGTGTCTACATGATCCAGACCATTAGCCAATGTTATCTCCATAAAGGGCAGTTATTCCTCAATATGGCCCCAGTGCTCTGCAAGTCTCAGTTTGACAGGAAGCCCATTGAGATCTGCATCCCCAAACAATTGGGTCATCTGGTATACCAACTGAGCTGTCCTTATCCTTATCACTCCCAGCCTTAAACCTTCCTCAGTAGTACTTCAATTTGTGCTTTCTAAGAAACATCTACATCTGATATACTTATATATTTGTGCTGTTTTGGATTGGTGGTTCCTGCTCTGGTGTATCATCCTCAGAAACACGCCACTGGGTTCCCCTTGAAGAGAGCGAATTATACATTATAGGTACAAGTGCACATTTGGCTAATGCCTTGCACTGTTACACTACCCTAATAGATCTGCACTATTGTCATTGCATGCATCATGCTGTTTTTTGGACAAAATCTGTGTGTACGGATGCACTCTTGGAACATATCGTGACACCCATACAATGTCTGAACAATATAGTACTTTACCATTAATGCTTCCCTTTCCCATGAGGTCAATGGGCTCCGTGCCTTCTGAGACCACCCCACCCCACCCCCCACCCCCCCAAATTGAGTCACAATTGCCTCTTTGTATGGTATGAATCGCTTCAGATCTGGGGAGATGAGGTTACCACCTCTTCATTCTGTGCTCCCTTTTGTTGTGCCCCCAATGTGTTGCCTTTGAATACAGGAACAGTGGTGAGTGAAACACTATCATTTAGGCCTTGGAAAATATCATTAACTCTACCATCCATTGTAATGTCAATAACTGACTTTTTAAAAATCTATATTTACATGATTTTCTACACGTAAGTATGAACATTTCTCTTAAGTACGTATCATTTACAGACTGAACTTTCCCATGTGTGCACATGGAAGTCCTGGGAACCCTCAGCACACACCCAAACGAATGTTTTACCTTAATGTTTCCCTTGAGATTTCTTCTGACCCACATTTCAGGTCCTCCCTAGAGTGTTGTTGGGTCAAGTCCTCCCACGCTTTCTGTCTTGTTCACACGCTGAGGGGTTTGCCCTCAAAAATGCTATTCAGGTCATTGCGCTAAACTGCGCACCAGCGCTTGCAGGAAGGAGAGAGCTCCATTGGTGATTTGGTCTTGTAGGAATGGGCCAGCGATTCATTTTCTTCGGGAATTCCGCGATCCAGCTTCACTGGAGCACGTTTTCCAAGCCATACCCAAACCCAACTGGCTTTAGCGGCGACTTGGGAACCCTGAACTGACTGCACTGCACGCGTGTGAAGCAGATGTGACCTCGGCTGCTGTGGTTCTGTTGGGATTGCTGACATCCCACACTTTGGGGATGGATTGCAATCCCAAGAGATCACGTTAAAGGATCCCCCCCACCACCACCGCCTTAAAAAAAACACTCTTTACGTTCATGATTTGAGAACAGAAAGATGGATGGATATTAAACCCAGAGTGAGCTTTGATTCGTTTTTATTTCAACATGAAGTTCCCAAACTTAAGCAAGTCATTGATTTGCCCAGCGAGAACCTGGGCTTCAATAAACCAGTCTGGCGATGGAGAGAGAGAAAGAGAGAGAACACAGAAAGTCAAACGTTGTGCAGTGAAGTGCAGTTGGGGGGAGTCAGTGTAGTTGGTGTAACTGCAATGCATTAGCCTCGCACTCTGTGGCGTTTGGTCGCTTGGGAAGCGAGAGCAGTGAATTCAAGCTGCAGATTGCACACAGATCTGGAACAGAACCCACTTCTTTTTTTGGGGGAAAAAAATTGCAACCAGTGTTTAGATGTTCAGAAAGGTGGTGCTGATGCCAATGCAAAGCAAAAAAATGCAGTACAGGGAATGTGGAGCTTTGAATGGTTCATGAGACATCATTTTTACGCTCAACTTAAGTCAAGGCAATTCCCCGGGTGTCGGCGAGAAATCCTCACACGCACAATATAGAAGGATGTTTAAGTGCATGTCTGTCTGCCAGATTCGGGCTATCGATGCCTTTCACTCCCATCACCGCCACCTCCCAGTGGTGAGTCCTGCCAGCGGGTGAGAGTCACTCTCACTAGAGAGCGCCAGATCTGAGCCCCCCACTCATCCCCACCCCCACCCCACACACACACCCACACACACACACAGAGCGATTGCACAAGCCTTTCTCTCTCCAAACTGCGCCCACGCCTGTCAGATCCTGGCGTTCGGACCCCGCTGTACAGGGAACTGACTGAGTGTTGGTGTGGGCGCAGAAAGCCGCGATGGGTCCGCATTACCCTCAGCCAAAGGCTTTCCTGGGCGAGAGAGGCTTTGCATTGAAGCTGCCAGGAAGCCTGGACTGCTCCGAGCCGGACCTCAACCACCCACCCCCCACCCACCCCCACCCCACCCCACCCACCCCTCACTGCTGGGTCTCACTGCGCTCTGCCCGCTCTCCCTCCCCACTCTCGCTGTACCCCCTGGTCCGCTCACCCCGACTCCAGGGATGCATTGAGACCTCAGTCTGGTCTGGAGACTCTTCAGCAATGGTGATGGGTTTCCGCATCACCCGACCGACCCCCAAATAATTTGTTCTCTTCTCTTCCCGACCCCGATCCCCCCCCCTTTCCCCCCCTCCCCTCTCGTCTCCGACGCTTTCTAGGACTCCTGTGTGTTCTTATCGCCGTCCAAGTCGGTGACTGACTGTCGGTGTGACACCGACCCCATCCACAGCCCACAAGCAAACGCTGTGCTGGAAGACTCAACGTCGCCTGACACTGCAATGCACTTCTGGTAAAGTATCCACGTTTCGCTTCATTTTGCCCACAAATGGTGACTTGCCAAAGTATCGGGCGCTCTTCCTGCTGCACTGGATGTTTTAATTCATTTTTATTCACTGGACCTAAAGTTTCCCATCGTTTGACTTGGGAGATCACCACCCGGGCGGTTTCTGCACTCGACGGGAAGCTGTTACACTCACTGGGCAGTGAGTTAGGGACCCTGTCCATCACAGTAAGCTATTTATTGGACCCGGGGGTTGGAGTGAAATCCCTTACCCAGAGAAATATACAGCGCAACTGGACTTCACAGCAAGCTCTCAAAGCAAGCTCTGGTCCTTTAATAAAAATAGCAACCTGCGCTCTGTGCATCTCTCTTTTGAAGCAACAATTGTAGCCCAATAGTCTGGGTTCCTGAAAAGGTGAGGATTATTATCGTTTAAGTGGGGGAAGCACTGACATCGTATTAAAGTCTGCTCGCAATTAAGCACCGATTAGTTTCCAAGTCACAACGCACACAGTTCATTTTGATCGTTTCAACGCTAAGCCATAAACCTGGTGGAATCATCAACACACTCCTTTACGCCAAACTCTCCGGCTGGGTGGCAAAGGGAAATCCTTTCGAAACACATCTAAGCAACTTTGATTACACTAAACTTTTATTCAACGAAAATCTGAACATTATTTTCAGAGCAGAATAATGTATGTGTGTGTATATATATATATCTATATCTATATCTATTATAAATAATAAATAAATGAAAAACACTTGCCAATGTGTGAAAGACTCACCTTAGGTTTCCTCCTCAAAAGGTGACTGGTGAATCCAAATATAAAGTCAGAGTCCAGACAAAAGGTACTGAATTCGAGTAAGTTTGTATTTTTCCTGCCAGCGGGCTCTGGTGTCTCTTGTGAAGACATGATGGTGTACAGTGTTGGAGCTGGGGTCCCTGAGCCGCACCCTGGTCCAGATGAAGCCTCATTCACTCTAGAGTGATATACTGGCTGCCATGGCTGGTTTTCATGTCCCAGCCACGATGCGCAAAGATCCCGCTTAATCTACTGTCAGATGAGCTCCAGTCTTTCTACACCACTCCCTTCACTAACATCCCAGCAAAGTAATCTATTCCAACAGCGAACCTCCCTGCGTCCACTAGTCCCACTGTATGAGAAAACATCAATATCCATCAGCAAATCTTCAGATTCCCTTTCAGTTTCGTCCTCCTGACAAGAGAAGGGGGGGGGGGGGGAACTGTTCAAGATATGGGGGGTTTATATCCTTTGATTTCTACCTTGTGTAGTTATCACTCCAAAAGTTTTTTTTTAAAAAAAGAGGAGGGTGATACAGTAGTAACACGCAGAATTAGACGCTCCGATGTTGAACTGAGAGACTTGGAAACTGAATGCAGTGAGGTGATGCTGTGTGTGTGTGTGTGTGTGTCTGTGTGGATGTGTGTGTGGATGGTGACGATAAGCTGCTCAGATCACATCATTCATTAGGTGTGTCTCGAGGAAACGCTGCATCGTTTTAAAAGTGTGCTAATTGTTGGCTGACAGCCTGAAAACGTGCAACTATAGCTGGATAGCTGGTGGACTCCAGAGGAGCCAATCCCACTGTGGGCAGCTAGGTGATATAAACTCCTGACAGGATGAAATCATACTGAATAATCGATTGAGTCCCATTTCATGTGAACAGCACAACATAATCCTATAGCATTCATCCGGCTGCATCATCAATTTTCAATATCTTAAAAAAAAGACTAATTCTGATTTCTGATGGGGGGGATGGGGGGGGGAGAGAGAGTCGCACACTTATTGGATTGCAGGTTAATCTGTGATAATAAAACTGAAAAAAAAAATCAATTATGTTGTGATAACAGCAAATGCTGTACGTGTTCCAGTCACTCTCTGTCTCGGTTAATTAACACTTTCTGTCAAATTGGTAAGGAAGGGAAGGTTGCACGTCTCATTTTACAAAACTTAATGAAAGGTGCCTCGTCTATTTATTCAATAGTGTTTTTGTTTGCATTGGAAAAGGTAACTTTTAGCCCCCCTCCAAATATATATATTGCAACGCTGTTGTACAAACGTGACCTCCCAATTATTTATCGCGGTGATGTATCTGCTGAACACTTTCCTTCAGAGAATTGAAAGGGCTTTAGCGCAAAGCTGCGCAAAGCTATAAGTCTGTCCCAATGGAAAGCTGGGCACAATGATAACAGAGCGGCGATGGGAAAGTTATTAAGACTATCTGCGTTTGTTCTTCAAAATAAAGTAAAACATCAACCAATCGATTGTGCACAAAACCTAATAGAGAAGATAAAGTCCATTATTCTTAAATGTTTTGAAAGCGATCCCGAGACATTAACATTAGTCTGTTAATAAAAATCTTATCAGTGGGACACAGAAGAGTATTCGACAGATAACCAGACAGTCATTACGTGTATAATAAAGAAAATCATGTCAATGGGTTAAAGAATGTCTCGCTCATTGGATGGATTTACTGCACTTGGTGGAATATGTCACATTGGTTTTGCTGATTGTTTATACAGCATTCATTTGAGTAACTTTCCTTCAGATAAAAAAGGTCTGGAGTGATTGTTCCCAAATAGAGTTTGGTAAGTTGAACATCTGATGCAGAAGAACCACGAAAGTGGTTGGATTTTGCCCTCACATTGAATGACTTTAAGCAATATACATTTCTTGTGCAAACCCAATGGCTGCATTTCATATGGAAAACATTGGCTTCCCTTCAATGGGTTGGGACAGTCAGAATGACATCCATTCTTTTAACTAACATGGGAATTCTTTAGCTTTGAACAATTCTGACTAAACATAGCAAACGGTACAGTTGATCAAAGCAAGTTATAATACAAGGTTCTCAACAATAAAATCTCTCTTAGTCTCCAACCCCCACCCACCCCACTCCCACCCACCACCACCCCGTTTAATGTATCCAACTCCTCACTATATAAATCTTACAGTAATTGGATGCTGCTTTTTTCTTGAGGATATGGATGGAGGTCAATAAAACAGGAAATATGGAACAGGGTGTTAGACAATTGTAATGCATCTCGCAAACGTGTGATTACACGTCTGTTGATTAACAGCAATAATCCGAAGATAAAATAAGTCTTATTTCCTTCTGCTCCAAGCAAACGTTTCTTGAAAAAAAAATGTCTAGAGGCAATTTTGCTTAAACTGTATCGCGTGGTTACTGTATTCTTATCTAAAGTGTGCCGTAGCATTTTACATTTAATTTGCTAAGAATACAATAGGTTGCAGTCCAGAGGGCCCCAGGGAAATCTACGCAACAGAGCGCAAGAATCCATGAAATTCAATGTAACGCACTAATCATGGAAGCATTATGGTATTAATTGCTATAATGCTCACTTGTAATCCCATCATAGGACGCAGAAATACACTTTCGGCGAAGCTAAACTGGTTTTAGCTCGATCTTAGCCTTCGTGTGCAAGTTTAATAGGTTCAGAGGAGTATTTTGTTTCAGAGCTGTGGACCACTCGAGTGATGTAGGCGTTAACACCTCGGAAATAATCTGGGATCCAGGTCAAAAACCACTTCTGACGTTCCAAGACACTCAGAGAGAGAGAGAGAGAGAGAGAGTGGAGGCAGAATGTTAGAATTTCACTTTTCAAGAGGCACACAGGCCACATAAACGATAATTAGAATTCGTCGTAAAGATGATTTATCGTGTCTATCATCGTGGTTGAAAAGCCTGGGTCACCGATGAATGCTGATGAAATTCCAAAGATCTGCTCCCTAAAGACTCACCGCATCTGCTGTCCTCCAGGATGGAAGGAAATAGCCCAGGGCGCGCATGCTATTAAAGCAAGATTTTTTTCCCAACCCCCCCCCCCCCCCCCAAAAAAAAAACAAAAAAAATGGGCATTTTGTCAAGCAAAATATTTCCTTGTGTGGCAAGAACATGGGGTCCGTATATAGCGATGTGCTCTTGAAACACAAAACGCGCTCCCAGTCTAGTTTGTGCTGGAGAACTCACCGAAAGCATCTCTGTATGCTTTAATAAATCAACTGAATTGCTTGATACGATTAATTATTTACCACGTTTAAGCAGATCTAGCAACGGAAAACGTGGAAGTGTTAAGAAGTCTATTTGAATGCGTTTGATTACCTATTCCCCCCCAAAAAACCCTGTAGGCCAGAAAGTTTCGAAGAATAAATCTCATTCTTGATGCCACCAGTGATATACTCAATAATATATTTGCGTTTGCGAGGAGAGGTTGAGACAGCCACAGGTCACCAGCTTTGCTGCATCCCCCCTCTTCCTCCCAATTATATGCTCCAAATATGCAATCGATGTAAAACAAACAATTGTGGAAAGTCAGGGAGCTGTGAAAGACTGACATCTTCGAATGGAAAGTGGTTACACGCAGGAATGGTTTGGGTCATTTTAGGGGTCTGGGTGGCGTATCTGCTTGTGTAAGGGAGGGTGGGTGGGTGGGGGAAGACTTTTTAATCACCATTCCGATTTGCAAGTCATAAAACAGAACGACGAGGAACAGTTTGCAATCTACGACCCCCCCATCATTTAATTTCATGTCATTTTAATCAGGTTGTTTTCGTCCACAGCTGCTTTGAAGGTCTGGTTGGCTGCGTGCAACACAATGGGAGGATGCTTCTGTATCTGTGTATCTGTGTGTGTGTGTGGGGGGGGTAGTGGGGTGGGGGGGGTTTGAAAATCATTGGAGACAAATATCTTAAACTTTTCATCGCCTGCTTGAGACTGAGAATCATCTAACGTTTTATTGCTTTGTGCATGTGGGTCCGAGTTTTAATAAAAGTTAAACGGTCTCTGACCGAATTGATTCTGTGCAACTATCCATAGCACTGGAGTTATTTCGCTATCCCCCCCCCCCCCTCCTCCCCATCAGATCGTTATTAAATGGATTCAAAGGATCGCACTGTGCAAAGCAAACAGAAATCACTTGGCTATGCTAATACTCCACGTAAACAGTATAGTCTGTGATTGGTGTGATTAGATTACTGTGATTCTGTGAACAGTGTATATTTACAGTATATTCTGTGAAGCGCTTTGAGACGTCTTGAAGATGCGATAAGACGCCGTATCAAAAGCGAGGGTTATTAATATTATTATTATTATTATTATTCTTCCCACTGGACACAACGAGTAATTATTATTACTATTATAAACATTGCAAAATGGTGTATCACAGCATAAGTCTAACTGGAGTCAGGTTAACGTGTCCTTGAGGCTGATGGTTTGCAGAGTTGTCATGTGCAATTGTGTGTGGTGTGTGTGGGTTTTTTTTTGGGTGGGGAGGGAAATAGTGTGTCCCCTCAGAATTGGAAGAATGCAGCACGTTACTATTTTCCTAATTGCATTATCCGTTTGAGCGAAGTCCATTTAAAACCAAAAGCCACAGTGTCTGCCTGGCTTCCTTTTAATGGAACAGACGTTCTGTCTATTTAACTGGTCTGAATCTCTTGAGCACCCAGATACTGAGTGCGTGGAAATCCCACAGCAGCTCCCGAAAGCTTTTGGGTGTCTCAGCCAATCCTAATGAAAAAAAAAGTTGGGGGAAAAATAATTAGATTGTGCATTCATCAAAGCGACACGAATTATCATCGCAGCCCCTGATCGTTAATAAACATGGACTGGCGACAGCTTGAAGACTCTGGATGAGAGCTGTTAGGTTCAGGACTCTGGACAGCGCCACACACATTACAGTTCATTCCCCCCCCCCTCTCTCTCTCTCTCTCTCTCTCCCCCCCCCACACACACCACCCCTCACTCACTCACCCATCCACCCACCCACCACCAGCTCAATAGAGTGTTGGAGCATTAAATGTTATAGCAATTATACGACCCAAATAACCCCAAAATGCTCCGACCGTATCCAAGCGATTATAAACAATCA